CCCTGGCACCCTGGTCGGGGTAAGGATTTTGTCCGATTTTGTCCAAGTGTACAGTAAACCATCGTTCTCAAAGGACAAGAGAAGCGCCACAACCAAAAGCCAAAGGGTGGAAGGATACATACAACTAGACATTAGATGGAGAACTGGTGGGCCCCCCCCCCTGAGCGCTGAAACTTTGGACTACACCCTTGCAACTTTCCAGTAAACAATCGTTTCCCCTCCCCCCCTCTTCTCCACCAGATTACTGGTCTCCCGGTCGCAGTGCCAAGTGGTGCGTTGGCTCGGCAAGCAAAAATTCCAGCTGTCCCAGAATGTCCTGGACACGGTGTACAGTCAGACGCTGGTGATGGGGGGAATGCTCTACGCCCCCTTACTTCCCCTTCTCAACCTCATCTTCATCTTCATCACATTCTATATCAAAAAGGTGAGAGGGGCAAATCCTGTTATATGAACCCCCCAAAAAATGCAACTCACTGCCAGGGAATGTCTCATCTTTTATTTTAATTTTATTCCTTTTACATTATGCCGTATATGCGGCCTCAGCGCCCCCCTGCTCCGCCATGGTTGTGCTCTGCTGCCCCTTCTCACCATGGAAGTCTATTAGTCAGGCCGACTCGGTGAAACCAAGGCTCTCCCTGTGGGGCTGATATTGCAGCAGTTGTTAAGCAGGGGGGGGTGAGTGAGGCTGATTCGCATACAGAGCGCCCTCTAGTGGTTAATTCAATATTTGAAGCGCATCTAAAGCCAAACCATATATGTTTGGATACAGTAGGGAAGGGTTGGATCCTCTGTCGAGTTTTTGCTGTCTGTGTCCCCATTTGGAAGATTCGCCCCCTTTGTTTGTGCTGGTGACCTCTATCCAAATTTCATAGTTGTCACCAGAACAAGCCTGGAGGTAAAATCTTCCAATGGGGACACCTGTTATGATGTCCGGAGACCGGGGGGGGGAGGGGGGGACCCCATAGAAGCCGATGGGGCTGCAATGCACAGGCTCCGCCGGAAAGTCAATGACCACCGGAGGTTGTGATCATTACAGGAAGTATGCATCTGTGGAGGAGGAGGGTCAGGTCGGGGTAAAGGGGCACAAGGGGGATGGTGCACGTTGCCCAAAGTCCACTTACCCCTTTCCTTGGCGCACCTCCGCAGTATTCCCTGTACCGGCTGTGTGACGTGTCCCAGAAATTGTACCGTGCGTCCACTTTGAGGATCCTCTTCTGCTTCGTCCTGCTCTTGGGCCTCATGACGGTCTTCCTGCCTTTGATTTATCTGGTGACAAGGTGAGAGAGGAGGAAAAGGTATGATGAGGGGTAAATGTGCCAGGGACAGTCAGGCTGGGGAGGGAAGCACAAGATGAGGCTGGAAGTCCTCCAGTCAGGAAATGAGGCGGCCTCTATCTGACTTACTGCAGCTTCTAATGCACATTGTGAGAGGCTCCCAGTGTGCGGTAACATCAGAGGAGAGGAGCCGGTACCACTGTGCAAGACTGAAGGGAAGGACGGAGGTCAGATAGAAGACTGAAGGGAAGGACGGAGGTCAGATAGCAGACTGAAGGGGAGGGCGGAGGTCAGATAGAAGACTGAAGGGAAGGACGGAGGTCAGAGAGAAGACTGAAGGGGAGGACGGAGATCAGATAGGAGACTGAAGGGGAGGACGGAGGTCAGATAGAAGACTGAAGGGGAGGACGGAGGTCAGATAGAAGACTGAAGGGGAGGACGGAGGTCAGATAGAAGACTGAAGGGAAGGACGGAGGTCAGATGCCTCGTGGTGACGCCAGACTTGGTATGAGCCGTGCGTGGAGGCGGCACCGGCTGCTGTTGGTGACTTTTGATCTGAACTCTCCTTTGTATTTCTCCTTCTTATGACATGCGTCAGTATCCGTCCGTCTCACTCCTGCGGCCCGTTTGCTGATTACACCACCCCCTGGGAGGCCGTCCAGAATAGTACCCGCTCAGTGCTGCCCCCTGTAGCCCTGGCTGCGCTGGGATATGTGATGTCGGAGACCAGTGCCTACAGTCTGCTCTTTGTACTTTGGTAAGTTACAATATTTAAAGTGCACGTCTGCGAATAATAACACTTCTCCCCAACACATGAACATCGCATATCCTGTCTGCGAGCACAGAAAAGTACCTGGTGATCCTGCCAGAGATCCTGTGAGCTCCTAACTTCCTGTGCACTCTTATCAGCCCTGGCCTGTGCTCCTCTGTGGGCTACAGAACACCCCCACCTTCCTAGATATGAAAATGAGGAGGGGGGGGTGGGGGTTCTGTTGTGCTCACACACTTCCTGTCATACGGTGACAACTCTCCTTCCACAGAAGATGTGAATTGTCACCCTAGGAGAGGAATTGTGTTACTGGCCGGATCACTGGGTGAAGAAAAATGGAGGAAAGCCTGAAGAAGGAAGACTAATGCGGCCACCACAAGGGGACTGGTAAGCTGTTACATTGTTCTTGGGTTTTGATACATTTTGAGACTATTTGTACCCAGTTTGTGTCTGTTCTTCTACAGCTCGTCCCTCTTCTATGAATGTTCCGGCATTGTCCCAAATAATCTTTTCCGCCTTTGCAGCCTCGCGCTCACTTCCCTGGCGTCCCGCGTGCGTCAGAACGAGAAGGATGTGGAGCAGCTGAAGGATCTTTTGTCCAATGTAAGCTGAGATCTGATACTTTATACAGAGTAGGTCCCTATAGGTCCGAGAGATCCTATTCCTCATGGCGGTCATATATACAGGAAATGAGGCTTAACGTACGAGGATCATCTGACCATCCTTAGGCACCGCCCACTAGGATAGAGGGGAGGGGCTAAAAACTCCAAGGCACCACTTATTCTACTCAGCCAGCCTTGTGACCCAGTTCCCCTGACAGACAGTGCAGCTTGGTCACTGACCCATCACCAGCTTGTAACTGGACAGTAAAGGAGCAGAGGCAGACTGATGAGGTCATCCCTGGACTCTCCCCTTCCTGACAGCATGTTGACAGTGTTAGACTGATAACACTCTGCAAAGCCATATAGCTGTGACTGTCTTCAGACTCTACAGCTTAGTCACTGACACATCTCCAGCTTGTAACTGGACAGTAAAGGAGCAGAGGCAGACTGATGAGGTCATCCCTGGGCTCTCCCCTTCCTGTAAGCGTATTGACAGTGTTAGACTGATACCACTCTGCAAAGCCACATAGCTGTGACTGTCTCCCGACAGCATATCTTGGTCACTGACCTATCTCAAGCTTGTGACAAGACAATGGAAGATCAGGGGCACACTGATGAGGTCATTCCAGGGCTCTGCCCCTCCTGTAAGCATCTTGACAGTGTTAGACTGATACTGCACTGCAAACAATGTAGCCGTGACTAAGCAGAAATTGTTTCTTTATTACAGATATTTAGATCACACCAAGAATTCACACAGAGCTTTATATTCACATTAGTAATTCCAAAAGATGTCACCAGCACTCCAAAAGTAGATTCAATATATTTTAATGACAACGGTCATTCAAAATCACAAGTACTTTCGGGGGCCACGTTGGGTCCCCGTCATCAGGCTCAGAATAACACACTGTGCAACCCAAACCTACATATATACACATCTGTGACCTTTAAAAACACAGCCAATCCCGCCCCCAATTGCATAACAAGTACATCTTTCCCGCCCTGTCGGTTTTCAATTAGGTAAACAATTGGTCAGCTAACAGCTGTGTGGTAGTACCGCCCCTCTGATCAAACGCCATTGGTCTACCTAGTCATGTGGCATGTTAAACACGATCCATGGAATTACACAGTGTCAGTCAATATATAACAGAAGTGCAGAATCATACAACTGTTGACAAATGTGGTCACATATAGTTGCAATAATGAATTGTTGCAATCGTAATTTAGATATGCATATCTAAATTACGATTGCAACAATTCATTATTGCAACTATATGTGACCACATTTGTCAACAGTTGTATGATGTAGGTATGTAGGTTTGGGTTGCACAGTGTGTTATTCTGAGCCTGATGACGGGGACCCAACGTGGCCCCGAAAGTACTCGTGATTTTGAATGACCGTTGTCATTAAAATATATTGAATCTACTTTTGGAGTGCTGGTGACATCTTTTGGAATTACTACTTGACTACACGGTGCCTCCGTGGTCGCTACAAGCACCCTATTACAGACATCATCTCCTAGGAGATCCGGTAAGGAGTGCAGGAAGATACACACAATTTTATATTCACATTAGTCCCCGCCCCCAAGGAGCTTACAATCTAATGCCCCTATCCCACATACTAGGGGAAATTTAGACGGGAGCCAATTAGCCCACCAGAATGCCATGGAAGCTCCATACAGATAGTGTCCAGGCCAGGACTTGAACCAGGGACCCCAGTGCTGCAAGGAAGGAGTGCTAACCACTGGGCCGCTGCGATTCTCAGTATGTATTTGTCTATTTAGCAAATAGAAGATAAAGAATTTCTGGTCCGAAGACTGCGAGAGGCAGAAGACCAGCGCAGCCAGGAAAGCACTCCACCTCCCCCCCGCCCCAACCCCCACGACACACACACCGCAAGAGACACTTTATGGGCTTTTCACTCAAAACGGATTTCCGTTATTGGAGGAATCCGGAGAGTTTATCGGATGGCTCCATCTGAGGGGTTTCAATGAGAGACAGCCCGCCTGTAAGTGAAGTGCTTGTGCTTTGCGCTCTCTCTATAGCCAACCCACAGAGCTCTGGGAATCCTTTGTCATGTGTTGTATATTTATTTGTAAACAAGACCACCATAAAATTATATTCTCTGCAAGATTACGGGGCGGGGGAAGACGCAACAGATTTCTGGGGTAGAAGCCGGGCCCCTCGATACTTTGTGAAATAAAAACAAAAATCCTATAAAGTGTCATTGTATTTATTATCCGCATGCAGTAGTCAGAATAGGGAACGGGTAGGTGTAGGTGTTCCATTGTACAGATTTCCTTTCAAGTGAACCTTACACGCTCCACTTTTGACAGTTCGAGGAGAAACCAGATGAGATCAGTGTGACCCCCTTATGTCACTGAGTAGGGTAACATGGGGCCAGGGTATGGCAGGGGCCACAGCCAACCAACCCTCCCGGGATGGTCAAGCGCAGAAGAGTCCCATGGAGCGATGGGACAAAGGGGACATAGGAGACATAGGGATGCTGGAGGGTTGGGAGAACCTGTTCCTGAGAGCTTACAATCTAATAGGAAGGGGGAAGGGGGGTGCTATTTGCATTTGTTGTGCGGGACTTGACAGGGTCTCTTTACTGTATGTATATGAATGAGCTTGAGAAATCATTGCAGCCAATGTGCTTCCTCCGAAATATTCTGGTGAATCAGGTGTCTGTATGAAGACTGTCCTGCCACCCAGATACCAAACCTTTACCTCTCCATCGGGCTCCCCCCTTCCCATTAGATTGAGCAGAGTCCTCCAACCCTCTTGTACCTGCACTGTCTCCCTGTATACTGTATAGCAGTGGTCCCCAACCCCCGGGCCGCGGACCGGTACCGGTCCGTGGATCAAATGGTACCGGGCCGCGGAATTCGTATCGCCCGGGACATGTATTTCCGGGCAAGTGCTTTTTACACTTTTTTTTTCTCTCTTAAATGAGCAGCAGGGGATTTGCTAACCCCTGTGTGATAGCAATACAGTTAAGTTTAAAAATAAATAGTAAAAAAAAAAATATTAAAAACGTAACAAAATAAAAATGTAAAAAATAATAAAACAAATGAAATGTTTCCAAAGTAAATAAAAATTGAATAAATGAAAACCAGCCCCA